CACTATAGCAGTTTGCAATGGCTGTAGTCGATTTTTATGGGGGTAGTGTCTTTAGTGTCAGCTTATCGTAGTTGAAAGCCACGACAATAGTTGGTCATATAGGCTATAGAGGTCGTAGTATAGAGCTGTAGAATGGTTAGTCACGTAGGCCATCGTGGTGAGTTGCATCAACGTTCGTAAGCCACAAAGACGGGAGTTGGGAGCTGTATGAATTGTCGGTTGCATAGGCCACAGCGGGGCGCTTTTAATAACGTATGTAAGCCACCGAGGCAGGAATGAGGAGACACATGAATTATGATAACGTTTATAAGCCGCAAAGATCAAAGTTGAAAGGTACATAAACTGTGATAATGCCTGTAGGCCAAATCATTTTTTTGTTAATTATGTAGAATTAACACAAACAATTAAGTTGAGTAAAACTCTTAACTTTACTTGGCTTCAATTTCAGGCTTATCATTAAAGATTTAAGCTCAAGTTTTAATTATTTTGATAAATTTTTATAATATTTATATTTTAACATAGTAATAGTATCTGAAATGAAAAAGATGACTACATTTACTATGAACGAACAAGTTGTTATTAAGTAATTTGATAAATTCATTTACCGAGTTTTTAAGGCAGATATATTATTTTTCCTTGACAGCTTTGACTAAGTAGTTTCTTTGAACAACATGGGACTTTTGATGAATTGATCAAGTACTAAGAACTTAACCAAACATGATTTTATCTTTGTGAAATGAGTTAAATAATTTTGAATTAAATAAATATTTATAAGAAGATTTACATATATACCATACAATTCCTATGAATTTACATTTCTAACACCTAACGTTTGTGTCCGGAGAACACACAAAAAGTATAGAGCATTAAGAGTGAGAAAACTAGAGGAATAGTATAAATGATAGACCCCCTCTTTATAGGCATAGATCCCAACATTACAATAGTACATATTAGCCTCCTTATCAATGACTTTTTAGAGGGATTTTTTTTGTAATTACAGAGTTATTCGCATATAATAAGATCGGGTGACCGAATCAATTGATAAGAGTATGTCGATTGTCTGACAAACCTCAAATCGATCGATATTTACACAGAAAGAATTATTCCTATCGATCCTGTTGAAAGCTGATCACCATCTTGCTGAAAATCTCGACATGTTCCGCGGATTGTTCAAACAAGACACTCCCTTACGGCTATCCACCCCGAAACGGTTATCAACAACTACAGTTGATCAACCGTTTCTTCCTTCATAACCATTCATCTGCCTTGAGATTTGTGCCAACATACTTATATATACAATCATTTGGGTCTATGCAAGATACCGATTTCCTTTAATATATAAACATAACAAGTTAAAAATATAAAGAAAAATCTCAAACTACTGAGTTCAATAACTCGGCCTGCCAAATAAAAATAATAATAAAAAAAAGTTCTTTAGAAGCTTTTCATTGCTCCTCTCGGGCCATCTATTTGTTTGAAAATAAGAAATCAAAAAATATTTACTAATAAGCAAATAAAAAGCCTCAATCATAAATTATTTCATCTCATTTCCTCCACTCTTTTTCAATCTAAACAAAGGCTTTCATAAAATGAATAAGATGAATAAAAAAAAGGGACTGTTTACATATAAAGGTCCTGAAACATTGCTATTTACAAATCTAGCAGACTTTTTCATCCATTTTTCAAATTCTCACTCAAATATCAAAATTCATCATAAAAACCCAACTCATATTCAAAAGCTGTTACTGTTCTGAAGCCTGTAACACTCGGCTTTGCAATTCATAAGCTTCTGGCACGTCATGCAAAGGATGCCCCTTCTGGTTCCTCTCAATGATCATCTTAGCCAGACGAACCTGCTTCCCAACCACAAACACAAATGCCTTACCCCTTCCCATGGCCCCTCGAGCTGTCCTCCCGACTCGCCGGACATACTCACTCGGGTCCCGAGGAAAGTCAAACAGCACCACATGATCCACATTTGCAAAGTCAATGCCTCTTGATGCCCTGTTAGAATGTTCAGTCGGAAAACCGAGTAATGAGAACTACGGGTGTAAACAAGTCAGAGTCAACCCCAAGACACCCTCAGCTTGTACGGGTGTAAACAAGTCAGAGTCAACCCCAAGACAACCTAAGCTTGAGCTTGAGCTTGATCATGAATAATTAATCGAGCTCGTGCTCGAGTTCAAGCTTACTTTTAAGAGTTTGAGCCGGTCACAAGCCAGCTTATTTATTATGATAGAGAGTAAATAATATTAATTCAAGTTAGTGGAATAATAAAATGATAAATAGAATGAGCAATTAGAAATTAAAAAGAAATCACTTGATATAAATATAAAAAAGTCATTTTTTGTATATTTTTAATAATTTAAAGATAAAGTCTTGACTTTTAATATATTTATAATAGATTTTATATTAATTATTTTTTAAACTATTCGGCTCATGAGCTAATGAGTGAGTCGAGTTGAAGCTGGCTCGAGCTTGGCTTGTTAGCTCATCAACCTCGGCTCAAGAGTTATTAATCGAGTAAGCCCCAGCCAGCTCAAGAGCTGCCTTGGCTCAGTTAGACCCCTACTGCGAACCATGCATATCAAATCCTTGTTCTTAATTCAACAGCCAGGAAACTTGCTACTTGCAGAATATCAATTTACCTGTCAGTACAGATGAGAAACATTGGTTCCTTTGATTCAGATTTGAGGAATTCCTCCATGTTTGAGAGCCTCAGTTCTTGAGCCAAGGCAGCATGGAAGGGCAATATCTTCGAGCGAATCCCTTGTCGGTCAAAGCGTTTAAAGGCATTCTCAACCTTCCTGCATGTCTCAATCTGCAATTTAATATCAAACAACAGAGCTTAACAAAACTGATAACACATAAAAATAAATATAAATATCCGCCAAACAACAAAAAATTACTATTTTTTTTGTATTTCTCAACAGAATAATAGTTTTTGGAGCAGGAGTTTGTATATCCAGAAACAAGGGATAAGATGGAGAACAAACTTTGTTGCAGAATATGATAGTTTTTGGAACTGGAGATTCTTGCACAAGCTGCAGCAAAGCAGTTTTCTTGTTTTGGAAAGCTGTTTCTGGATTCTTTTCCTCTCCATCTATTCCACTGCAGTCCAGAAGAACCTGAATCAAATACAACTAACATATATCACATTAAAACTTTTAAATAAGATTAGAAGAGACCTAAATTATAGGTAAAGTTTCAATTCTCTGGAATAAAGTACCATAATAGTCCCCTAGCTGTTTACATGAGGTCATTTTAGTCTCGTGGTCTATAGAAGTGTCAAATTAGTCCTTAGACTCTTTAAATTAGAGCCGAAATAGTTAGACACCTCATTTAAAGAAATTAGAGACTAATTTGGCACTTAGATAGGCTCTTGAGACTAAAACGGCCTAATGTAAAAAGTCGGTGGATTATAGTCAGCATCATTTGAATGGCCAATGAATGACTAATTCAGAGTCAGCTTTCCAAAATCCAAGCGCTAAGAGCGATAAACTACGAATCAAAAGGCTAACCTCATCTAGCCTAGAGCTGGTGCGATGCATCCCAGGCCCCATCACTACTTCAGTGTCTGGAAATATTTCGATTAATTTGTTGTAGACATCCACAGGAAGAGTTGCAGTGACAAAGAGATACTGCACAGTCATTGGTGCAGATCTGATGAAACTTTGGAGCACCGGTTTGAAGTCCTCGTCGCCGAACAGAATATCAACTTCATCTAGAACAACACTGAACACGCCAAAGTTAGATGCACCGATAGGTTTATGTATTAGAAAATAAGTGAAAAAAAAATACACATACAGTCCCAGCCATTAAGTTGAAAATAAAGATTATTACAGGTGGTCAAATTATGGAGTGAAGTGTCAAAATAGACCCCCGACTATTTTAGTCCAAGAATATATAAAAGTGCCAAATTAGTTCATATACTCTTTTAAGATGTGTTGAAATAGTCCCTATAAAGGGCTACTTTAGCTCTCACTAAAAGAGTTAGGGGCTAAATTGATACTTTTATAGACTCTGAAACTAAAATGACTCCCTGCAAAGCGTTGGGACATTTTTCTCTTAAATTTTGAGTATATGCTTTACCATTTCAGGTTGTTTAACAGAACGTGGCCTTCTTGCAATAAAAACATAAAGCGGCCAGGTGTGGCTATGAGGACATCCAGCTCTTGATTTAGGGCTTCCAACTGAGTTTTTTGTCGAAAACCCCCGGTTGCAACCACAGATCTGAATGGAATGCCAGATTTTGCCATTGAACGGCAATTTTGAAGCACCTGAATGCTTGGAGTGATTAGCCAGGAATTTAAGTTGAGCATTGGGTCGATTTGTATGGGTTGGTTTTCAAATTGGTTAAATTGATTGTAACCAAAATCTAAAATCTAAAAAATACAACCAAAAAAAATATATATATAGAACCAAATCGACCGAATCGAAATCTAACTTGTTTTAAATAGTTTTGTTATGAGCAAACAGGAATTTAGTTAGTTCAAATTCGGTTATGAACAAACATCAAGAATTATATATCCTACATGTATAATATCGATATAATTTCAAGAATCATCCATTTAAAATTTTTGGTTTTTCAGTTGGTTCTATTAAACTGAAATTAAAAACCAATAACCAAAAAGCCAAACATTAAGGTTTTTAAAACCAAAAACCGAATGCTATTTTGAAACCAAACCAAATCAACCAAACTTGTTTGGCTTGGTTTGAGTTTTCGGTTTTAACCAAATAATGCACACCATTACATAGGATATCTCCACTTAAAGTCATCATTATAAATTAAATATATAGTTCTAATCCGTAGATTGATTGGGTACCTAATTACAATGTTAGAGAATAACCTGGGAAGCTAATTCGGCTGTTGGTGCCAATATCACAACTCGAGGATTCTTTGATGAAGATTTACCTAAACCTGCCAGTTCTTCTTCTCTTAGGAGCTGTACCACTGGAGCAAGGTATGCTACTGTTTTCCCAGACCCACTTTGGTCAGCAATGATGCAACTTTTACCTTCTAAAACAGGACTGTAAGCCATGGCCTACAAAACGTTAACGGAAGTCAACTATGCAATGCAGTATCAATAAATTCAAGCTCAGCGTGAGAGAAGAGGTCAAGTGCGACCTGAATATTTGAGGGGCGAATGATAGACTGTTTCCAGAGAGTTTCAATCATAAAATCACAGCAACCCAAATCTCTGAAGCTCTTCCTACTAAAGAATCCACTATCAGCGGGTAACTTTTTATGAATTTTCTTCCTGGATGGACGGATGCTTTCAGTGGAATCGGCATCCTTCCATTTTCTGAAAGATGAATTTACCCCAAAAGAAAACTCGTGTGCATCTGTAGGACCTAATTCCTTCGTAAGGGTGTCCCTAGAGCTCTTATTTCGTTGTCTCGCATTTGGTAATGGAAAGCCCTCCGGTTCTCTATCAGTAGCGGAGTCCATGCATAAATCCACAGATTTTGCTTCATCCAACTGCGTAGCAAAAGCTTTAATGGAGCTAATACTGCTGTCATCACCAACCTGTAAGGAGTTCTTTATCAATGACCTTATTTTGGGGACCTTCAATCTACTGAAACTTGCAAGAGAGCTAGATACAATCTTCTGACCTGTCGTATCACAAATCTCGACAACCTTATGATACCAAAACGGAAAAGAAAAGGATAGCTTCAACTGTATAACTCATGAGTATGAATGAATAATAGCATCTCATGGAAAATTTAACTGGAAACGGCTAATTTGCATTTGCAAATTAAGAAATTGTTGTATATCATCAGAATTTTGAACTGTGATTAAAATTATAAAGGAAGATTTACATACATACGACCCAGTTCTTATGTTATGTATCTATACATCTATCACCCGAATTTCAATTTGTACATATATGCCATCTTACATATGAAAGAAATGGTGTATTTCATTTTTTAAAAGTTAAAAAAGTGGTATTATTGATGTGATATGAAAGAATTGAGTGGTATAAATATAAAAAGTGAAAGTATAGGTGTTAGATATGTGTATGCATAGGAATTGGGTGATATGCATGTAAATGCCCCCATTATAAAACAGTAGTAACTTATCTAGGTGTTTGATATTGAGAAAATAACATGAGTTTAATTCTCTTTCTCAACGAAAAAAACACATACAATAAGAAGAATTAATAAGAAAATATTAAGATTCTTTTTTCGTTTCTCGATCATTTCATTGTTTAATTAAGCATTTGAGTGCAAATGGAATCAGATATAACAGAACAGAACTGACCTCCTTCTCTAGGGTTATGCTCTGGTTTTGAGGACATGGCTTTTTTGGGAGGGATAGGGAAGTTTCCATCAACACCACCCCAAACTATCAAACTCTCACCAGTCTCATCATCAATGAGGCGGTAAGCACCGGCTGTGTCCATTGGAATCTGCTGGTATGCCTCCATCACAGAAAGCTTCCTCCGCCCGCAGCAATGGTGGACAGCACTAGGTGAAACTTGATTGGAATTAAAAGGAGCTGATTGGGCACTGAAAGGAAATTTCTGTAAAAAGGATGTTTTAAGTGGCTCAACAATGCATTTCGTTCCCTCCTGAAGATAGAGGAAGCACATGAGAAAATCTGACACTTTGTCTGAACAATATTAGATCGCATAATAAAAAATAGAAGGATTTACATACCACCAAATTCCTATGTATTTACATATCTAACACCTAAATTTCGATTTTGACATACAAGTCACTTTACCTATGCATGATAAGGTGTACTTCACCTTTTAAAAGTTAAAAAGGTGGTATTTTTGATATCATACACAAGATTTGGGTGGTCTAAATGTAAAAAAGTAAAGTTTAGGTGTTAGATATGTAAATACATATGAATTTGGTAATATGTATGTAAATGCCCCAAAAAAATAGAGATGAAAAAAAATATAATATGCAAGGCTTTAGCTTTGCCAAGTAGAGATGAAACATTTGGATCACTTTCTAAATAAATATCAATGAAACTTACTAGCGACAATTGGTCAATGTCTAGTAGAGTATAGAGAGCTTACCGATCAACATTATGAGTAAAGACAAATTGTCAATCTATGTTAAATTAGTAAAAAAATTAATTCATACAATTAAGTAAAAAGGGGGGAATGATTGCCAAAAGAAGCTTTACAACAAATGATAAATAAATTGTAAATTAATAATTTAAATTGTTCAAATTGATGTTATCAAGGCATTAAAGGATTGGCATGATGAAAAAAAAAAAAAAAAAACATAATAATTAGCATACAAACTTCACTGTTAGAATATTATCACAAATGTGGGTGGTATTTCTTTGGTTCTGCTTCATAACCTATCCATTACATAAACTTCAATGACTTTGATCAGTCATTCAATTCTTTATATAAACTTTGGTTGTTCAAGTGACATACTAGATAGCATGAATGACCTCAATGGCACTGCTCTAAAAAAATATCCTTCGAAGCAAAAAAGTGGAATGAAAGGACATGTTGGAATGCTAAAGCCCCATGTTATTTTAAGATGATATAGGTGCTTTATATATAGGCAATTACAAGGAAAAATATAGGATCTAAATAATTAGAATATCCACAATTATGATGAAATATTAGAAAAATAAAATCAACAATCATAAACCAATAGCCTTCCAATCTTAGTAAATATCCTATGATAATACCCCCTTTCAAGTTAGAGCATATACATCAAGAAGCTCCTGTTCATGGCAAAGAGAGGTAAAAGATGGAGTGGCTCCAGAACCTTGATAGGAATATTAACTAATTGTTCTTTGTAGGAAACTTGAAGTGTGATAATCTTCTTTAATAGAAAAACATATTTGATAAAGTAATATTCCACTTCAATGAAATAATATATTTGAAATTTTAAATAGAAAATGTAGATTGTTGTTTGATTATCATAGTTAACGATAGTGGACATTTTATAAAAAAGCCGATTTCTTTTGTTAGAATTTTGATCAACTTTATTTCACAAGCAGAATGAGTCATAGCCTATTTTCAATTTCAACTCTGGATCTAGTGAGAATCACTTAATTTTTAATTCTCCATGAAAAAAGACTTTCCTATAAAAATATAGTATCATGAAGTTGGCTTTCAATGTTCAATGATCTAGCATAATTAGCATCAAACACGCTCCAATCTTTAAATGAATATGTTTTTAATAAACCAAATATTTTTATAAAGATCTTTCGCTACGTAAAATTCCAAGAAAAACATCCCAAGATTTATATTTTGGGTTTTGCATATGTTGATAAACGACGACAATAATAGAAGATATGTCAGGCCATGTGACAGTTAGATAAGTTTACCAATCAGATGTTGATAGTGAGATCTTCTAAGCATGTATCATCATTGTATGTTTGCATAATATCAATGATATAGTCAACAAGTTTGTATCTTAGAAGATTTCATTTCCTCAAGCACAACATATTTCCTTAGAAAAAAAGAAGCACTTTTATCATTGGTAAACTCAATACCAATAAAATATTTTAGATGCCCCATATTTAAACTAACAACTGTCTTGTAAAGATAGTTTATTTCCTCAATACTAGAAAGAACGTTCCAAGTGAGATGAATGCTATCAACATATATGGCAAGAAGCACAAAGCTAGAGGATGGCTAAGGATAAAAAAGTGTGCTCAAAGCCTCAAACAAGCTTCTTCAAAGACCAATATCGATGGGACTTTGAGAAGTCTATCAAACCAAGCAAAAGGACTTCAATTAACCAGAAACAACTTTCTATGCTTCTAGCTTTTTTTCTCCACCTACGCAACAGTCCCCGAAGCTTGCACCACGTAAATAACTTAGAATAGTTTTCCATTGGAAAAACCATTACTGACATTCATTTAGAGAAAAATTCATTTTTGATTCATGGCCACAAAAAGAAGCTGAAAAGAATTAAGCCAGGTCATTGGGGAAAAAAATTAAAAATAGTGAATGCAATAAATCTAAGAATGACCTTCGGTCATCAATCAAGTTTTTTATCGATCAAGAAATCCATCTAAATGGAGCTTGACTGATAATACTGAGTGAAAGTAAATAGTTTAACTCCAAAATAGGGTGTAACTATACTCGAAGTGCGGTGATAAAGAAGAGCCCCTATTTTAATATCCATTATGTGTTTGCAGCTAAGATAAGTATTTTTATGATAAATCATAGATATAAATATAGTAGATAGAGATAAAACAAACTGATGAAAGTAGGATAATAAATTATACAAAGTCGTAAAAAATTGAATTAGATGGTTTTCACAGTGTTGTTCACCTTTTTGAAAGATGAAGAATTGAAGTCTCGAACATAGAATGAGTCCCAGTCATAGTAGGCAAGGCGGAACGAGCCAAATTAAACAGAGACAAATGAAGCCAATGAGAAGAAACTAGTTGTACAGAAAGGGCAGGCTTCTCACATATAGAGGAAGCTTTTGCTACTAAAACTATAAGTGACAGCTAAAATAAGCACAAAAAACCATTAGTCTTGCTTGATTTCCATTTCTTGACCTCTATTCACATGATTTACTATATAATTATCCTAAAAATACAAGTCTTACTTGGTAAAACTACAACTATACTTAGTGGATGAAACTTTGATAAGAGTCTTAGCTAGGGATTTAGCTAGGGATTTTCTGGTGGGGGGTGGGGGGTGGGCGGCTGGAGTGTCAAAATTAGGGCCTCTCATGCCTGAATTAGTCTTCTTCAACCCTTTGCTAGTACCTCTCACACCTAACCTAAAGAAGAGGAATGTCAAGGGGGTGGCAAGCGTGTTGTTTCCCATTCCAGAACACAGTAGCCAACAGCTCTAGCCTTGCTGCTAACAATGTCAGTGCCTAGAGCTTAATTATTAACGGCCAAAATTCAGAACATCCCTGGAGTCCCAATAAATGATATTGTGAAAACAATTAGATATGAATTTAATGAAAAGACACAATTTAAGTGAAGTTCACTTTGGTCATTAACATTCTCAACAAACTCCTTGAGATTAAGAGTTTGTTTGTGACAGTTTTTTCATCCCTCAACTTTTTTTACCACTGCTACAAATTCATTTGGCTACAATTTTCTTATTATTTTTTTGAAATTTTTATAATAGAAAATTGCTTTTGAGAACTAGATCTGCAAAAATATGGTAGTTATAAGTGAGTTCTTGTTCAATTTTTCTCTCTCTCAAAAAAAATAATATCCATTACTTTCAAAGAAGATAATTTCCCCCAAATAATTTTACAATCATACTTATAAAAGGTTATAGTTGTTCCAAACAAACTCTAAAATAACAATACTTACAACTATCAAGTCAAAAGGTCAATTTGATAATACAAAAAAGTCTGGAGCCTAACTTGATTAAATGCACTTTAAGCTCAGCTATGAAAGCTGACAGAACCATTCTCATCAGTTCAACATCTCCTATAAGCATCTCTTATAGTACATATACAGCCTTACACTCAGACTACAAATACGACTTTATGCTAATTTTTTTTCTCATTCTAATCTTTAGGCCCGAGATAGAGCCAAACTAAAAGAAAACCTTAACAGGAATCGCCTCTCATTTGTTTGCCTAAAGCTGTTTCGAATCCGTTCAGGCAGATTCCAGGTCTTGGCTGCCTGTGTCTAAAAACAGGACTTTAAGCTACAAGCACATCCGTCAGTCTCTTCCAGCATCTGCAGCATACACTCAAGCGACACAAAAACAAAGACAACAACAGAAAAGACGGGAGAAATTGTAGAAACAAAGCAGCCCAGAGGTAAGGATTTGATTACTAACCACAAAAGCATCTTGAAAACTTGTACAAATTTCGAAGCAGTTCATGTTACTCTAACCACCCAGAGATAACCTTATAGCAATTAAGTTGCAACAAAATAACAGGAGAAATAATTCCATGGACACAATGTTTACGTACCTTCCTAACGTGTTCGTGATGTGAGATGCAGTTTTCTCCCCCAATCACGGCCTTCATATCGACTGAAGGAGCCGATGTCCATGCCGTCACAGTTTGATCGGAGATTTTACAAGGCAGGAAGCGACGAAGTAAAGGAAAGTTGCTGGTTCCACTGGAGGAGGAGAGAGATGGGGAAATGAACGCCGGCGACGCCGGTACTGGCGTTAAGGAGATAGCAGACGGCATAGAGATGGTCGAACTCTGTTCCTCTTCGTCTTCTTCTTCATTCACTTCACCCTCATCTCCCTTGAGCCAAAAGCTTCTCGACCACACTATGGACCTTATCCTGCCCAACCAGGCCTTAGGTTTTGTTTTGGGATTAAAAAAAAAGTAATAAAATTTGATGATGCCCCTTCATAAAAAATGTAATTGATTAAATATATTAGCTCTAAAATTTTATGATAGAAATACATTTTAAAACAATATGATTTAGTAAGAAAAAACACTCATGATATAAAAATAAGAAGTCTCATATACAAAAAATTTATAATTATAAAAGTAAGCTACAAGATACCAGCAAACAACTCCTGGTCCTCTCCACATAGTCTCTGTTCTGAGCTCCAGGACTCGTCCCCATATTTTATTTTCAGTACAGACTATTCAAAAGGATTCCAAAAATTATTTGGAGAAAATTTAATAAAAAACTCGATCTACAGAAAGAGTCAGCACTAGTTATCTCATGCAACGTGTAAAAGATTGTATCTACGGAAAGAAATTTAAAACACGCTTATAGTGAATTCATTAGTTTAAATTTGATTATGATGCCTTTTAAAAAAAAATTTCCCTTAATATACTAGTTTGCAATTCTTAAACCTAATGAAGCATCCAAAATGCACAAAAAGTGTACAACAGCTAGCACGGACCAATGAACAATGATCGTGTATGAAAATCCCTTACTAACTCTAGCCCTAATTCTAAAAAAGAGTTAAAAGGTTTTGTCGATGAACACATCAACATAGAAGACGCGTTAGTGCAGAGGTTGAGGGTCTTCTCATAGGATCTTGATTAGGTCACCATGTTAATCCCATCCCAAGCGTCTGAATGAATTAAACCTCATCACGACAAGTGACAGACGTTAACCTGGGTGTAGCTTGGAACAATCCTACAAGATTTGGTAATAAGAATGTGACTTGCATTGCTTGTTCGGATAGGCCATTGAATAATGCCTGTTTCTCTATTATTACCACAGGTCATAGTAAGAGTCATTCGGGTACTACCACTGACACTCATATTCATGAGAGCAACAACTCTATGGTGTAACATGAAACATGCTCGTACACAAACAAGCGGTGCTTAAACATGCTAAAACGATATGCCTCGGGGACCAAATATTGATGACACTAACACCGAGTCAAGCATCCTCATAAAAAGAGTGAAATCGGGAAATATGCATACAAGATGAGCAATCGAATGTTTTTTAGGGAAAGTGAAAACCCTAAATACTCAAGATTCGTATGTCATGACTCATGAAAAATGGCGAGATAAAAAATTTTTGCACATGAGGATCAACATGCAAAACATATGCATGCAAAGAACTACATGCAAATAAATGTAGAAAACACAAGAATCCTCTCTCCTATCGCAAAGAGGGTGATATGATGTCGTGAAGACTACTTCAAGGATGACAGAAGTGTGCAAACACAAAATGCTACCTAAACCTAATCAATGGCAAGACTCTGGCATCCTACATGCTCATGCAGGTGGTATGCAAATAGTTAGAATGGAGGAAAACAAGCTTACGCCGAACCCCATATGTAAATGAAAGGAATGACATAAGCTTTGTCGATCAGTCAAGTAGGTCTCAACGTCAATAATATATAAGGATGGAAGATCCACTTATTCGGGATAACCAAACTCTATCTAAAGGCATGCTCGAAAAGCCAAAGGAGGGACCTGAACGCCAGTCAAAAACAAAACGGGCAACCTCACATCATTATTGAAGAAATGATGTGTGGCTACCAATAAAGTGAAACGTTTGTTGAGCACTAAGAAATGACAATGATATCTCATTTCACACCCAAACATGTAGCGATGCGATAATGCTTAAAGAACGATATTATGATATTGGGTGAGCTAAGGCCCCACACTCAAAGGAGAGCTAAAAAAATGATGCAAAGGTAGATAAACATAGGGTCTAATCTAGGTATCATTTAACAACAATCTAATATTGTTCCTCTATCACGGAACCCAGGGCTCTTCCTAGAAAGGAAATATGCTCAAGGGCAATGACTTTCACCTTTGTGAAGGTCGAGCAACATTAAAGGCTTTAACCACCCGACTGATCACTCCAACTATTCCTATGAACACCACAGACTGCAACATCGATGTCTGGAGACTACACCCAAGAGGAGGAAGGTGGGGAGGTAGGAGAACCACACACTCCTATAACTTCAAGAAGCTCCAAAGGGCCAAGCAAACAAAAAAAATGCAAGCGCTAGCTAGCAACCATTCACCATAATGCTAGACCTAGGCCAACAATGATTAACCGGAATGTTCGCCTTTGACCATCAACGATTCCCCTGAATGCCAATCCTTGACCAACAACGATTCACCAAAATTCTAGCCTTTGGGGCAACCTAAGGCCGCCCCATTTATAGAGCAATAAGTGAGGCACCCCGACACCATTGACGTGTCCAAAATGCCATAATAGTCAAAAAGACAAGGCTGTGACTCAAGTCTTGCCATATATTAGTTGGGGCATGGCGGCTCAATAAATGATATTGTTGACCTCACTTTTGGTTGAGGTCTAGAAATTTTTTTAGTAGCCTAGGTCTAGCCATAGGACTTTCCTACTGACTAGTCTTAGAAAACTAGAAAAGGTACCCTCACCATTAGAAACTCAAAA